CAGCCGCCTGTGATAATTAGATTATTAATCTCGTAGTTACATTTTAAAAAAGGTTTAACAGATTAGGTACATACATGTGGTAAATCTTAAGTAATCTGCTAAGTCAATGTTATTCGTCGTACGACAGGTTTGTCACAGGTAATTAGCGAATGGAAAATTTCTAGAGACTACATAGAAGCTTTCAACTCTTATCAGACTATTAATTAGCACGTTCAACTACTTTAATAACTTCCGAGAGTGTTGCGAATGCTAGCTAAATAGATCGGAAGTGTCGCTTACAGTTGTATCATGTTGATAGGACTTTGGCGTGTCTTTAACAAATCGGCCGAAGGCGAAATACCAGCAGAGTGCCAAAAGAACCAGACCGTAACACAAAGAATCGCGACCGAACGTTCGCACCACCGCGGTGCCCAGCCATCCAGTGAGGCAGTAACCCACGCTGACAGCTTAAAGCATGGGAATTAGGATTAGTCGAGTAATTCGGATGTAGACTGGTAACACGCATTGTCAGTGTAGAATATTTTTAAAGATGTCCTACAAATTAAAGAGCATGCTGTCGTAATATGCTGTAGAGCAGTAATGCGCAATTTACAGTTCCGTGGATTTTTTGTGTCTTACCAACATATAGTCGAAAAAACGTAAAATCATATTTTTTATTTTATACAAACGAAATAAACGTTATGTATCCCAAAGATTTTACACCTATTTCTAAAAATGGCTTTCTGAAAGTGATTCTTGAAAATGGTTGCGCGTCACTGTCGTAGAATATGCAAATATGCAAATCTGTTTTTACTACAAAACATTAAAATAATAAACGACTCGGAGAGTCGACTTCTTTGTTCTTTTTACTTATCATTTAAACGATCGTATTCGCAATCCCGAATATACCTGCATAACAACTGAAGTACCAGCTTCTATGATTGCTCTTAAACCAGGTCATAGCGAACATGTGAGCAGCAGGCATGGTTGCGCCCTGCAAAAGAGGATGTCGTAATGATTCTCGCGCGAATGTTTTATGTCGGCTACGTCGTGTTTTACGTGTGCTACGCAAAATCGAGTTCACGTCATTGCGAAGCGCTTGGAAATGGCGGTAATAAAGTCTGCGCGCCGACTTACGGTGCATAATCCTTGAAACAACCGAAGCGCGACATGCGACGGTCCGCGCCAGGCTGCAGGTACTAATAGAGACGCTAAGCAGGCGCTAAGAACTGCACGTGAGAACACCATGGAGGGCCCTGATCGGCCCCACACCAGGCAACCTCCCAGGATCGGACCGGCGACTTGTCCCCATAAGAACGCCTCGCGCATAATCGATTCCGCTCGCTCCTCCTGCGGCAGCTGTCGTTCATAACATGGATTATTAATGTTATTCTGCAACGTAGCGTTGCAAAGCATAACTGTTCTTTAATGTAATGTGTACATTTACTTCTTGGAATAGCTTCTTGAAAAGACTGGTAGTTTAAATTAATCATTAATTATTAATGCAAAACGAAGCGCTGTCACAACAACAATCTTGTTCAGTTTGCTTTCGTATTAACGAATAAAAATTTGTTAGACAAATAAAAGTAGGAAGTACCACGTTTACCACTGAAATATAAGGCAAAATATATTTAAGTATGTGTATACCTCCATAAATATAATTTCAAAGTCTTCGGTGCGATTGCGGCTGGTGATATTGACCAGCATATCGCAGTGCCAAGATGTGTCGATGATGGCATGATTGTCTTTCTGATTTGCCAGCAGTGCGACAGAGGAGCTGACTTCGACTGCGCCGCAAAGCGCAAATCCAACAGCGACTAGACCGGCGACGATGTGTCGCGCTCGTACAGCCGCTAACAAATAGTAATGTAATTACATGATAATCGTAATAATCGCGACCAATTTGATCAAATTACCGATTAAAAAAATCGCTAAAAACTTACAAATAATTTCATAACCAATAAAGATCAAATAAAGATCAATCATATCGCGTTGTTGATAAAAATCTTATGAATATTTTAACAATATCAAATTGTATCAGTAAAAATTAGAAAAAGAATCAAATAATTTTTTATTGGATCGTGTGACTTATTTTGTAAATATTTATCCAAGAATTTTATCGTTGTTTATCCTGAAGAAAGCTTGATCGAGGCCGAACGTCTATTATATTAGGTGTTGGAATTAATTCGTAGCGTTTTACAAGAGATGGGAAGTACTTTCATTAATGTATTTTTTAATGCTCATGTGAAATAAATAACATTCTTTCATTAAAAAACGCTACGAATTAATTCCAACACCTAATATTTATATACATACATCAGAATAAAATATTATCTCGCTAACTAAATCTTGCGTTGTAGCACATGCCCTTTATTTAATTAATTTGAATTATAAGCCACTTGAACTCTTCATTGTGAATTTTTTATTTACTGTCGAGGGAATTATTTAATAAAAAAAATTATTGAATAGAACGGTAGGTATGCATTATTAATTATATTGCGCACAGCTAAATTTTCACATTTTTGACAGAATCATTCAAATTATAATAGTAACAAAAGAAATTTTCATGTGTGTATATGTACATACATTATCATAGTCTCGGAGCACAGCAATGTTTGATTTTGATAACTAACTGATTACTCAAACGACTGGCACGATAATATCTTGCGTACAAATTCTAAATTTAAAAGACACTTGTGTCGATTGGCTTTTTACGTGTAAAAATAATATTTGTAAAATTACAAAACACACAAACATTCGATCAAAACACATAATCATAACATTTCGATTAATATTAGACTGTAGATTAATATATAAACTCAAATATCACAGTCAAAATATTTAACTATAACTAAAACGCAACTTTCAAAAGAATCTCTCTTTATTAATTTGTTAAAATAAATAATTAATTATAACTAAATAAAGTAGATAATAAGTATGAATGAAGTTACTTAAAGTTTGGCCACGCGACAACGCGAAATAAAATTAGATCTCACGCGCACGATGTAAGAAATAAAATTAGTTACAGTGATTAGAATTTTGACGAACCTCGAACCTCTTGTGCAGCGAGTTTTAGTTGACAACTGCCACGTTTAACGAACTGCACGCTACCTCTCTTGACGAAGTCTGCCATCTCACAGAACCCAAAAATAATGAGATCGACCGCGACATCTCGCTCTTATCACGCCCCAGTGTTTGATTCTTCGCGCACTATCTCTCCACTACTCCGAGTATACTGGTGGCCTCGACTTTGGCTCGGCAATGATGAAACGCAAATAGCTGACTTTTTGACAAGACAATGAACGCGTAATGCTATTAATTCAATAATGTTAATCTAAGAAATAGTGATTTTTACGCTTCTGTTGATCCTAACGCTAATTCGTTTCATGCGAATTACAGATAAATATGTAACCGGAGCGAGTAATAACGTCTACTAATAAGCAACTAATAAGTGTAGGATGCTGATACCAAATATTTATAATTTATAATTAAAATTGAATGTAATCTTAAGATTTTTAATATGGAAAAATTAATTTCATATTAATCGAAGAATCTGACTAAAGATCACGCCGTCGTTTCACGATACATTGTATGAATAATTGATAAGTTATTCACTTCCTTTAACTCGACAGACGTAAAATCGTTTTGCGTCGTAAATTTATTAATCATAATCATAGCACACAATAATAATGTATCAAGAATTCCGGAAACCCGTTCAAAGGAAGTCGATTGAGGGCACAACGTACCTTTGACCTCGAGTGCCGCGTGTCTCAACTGGACGCTACCGCGTTTAAGACGAACTAACGCTGCCATCGTCGTCAAACGTGCTGACACATCGATTGCGTTTCCATGATGTAGGACCGATACTTTAGGCACATATCATCGACAAGTCCGTTATTGATCTTTTCGACCACTTTGCTATCGCGCGATACGAGGTTGATAGGACGCGATGATGACAGCGGTGATGAGTTACGCGAACTATACTGGTCATCTGGCCGGTGCGAGTGAATGAACATCTCCGTTAACGAGACTTGATACAATAAGTACCTATGCCGGATCAGCCTTGAAGCACCGCGCGCGAGGTCCGCCTCGTAATATTTTCCCCACGTCGGAGTCGCCAAGCGATATATTAAACTTCATCACTGATAAAGATCTTCAAACGCAACTGTTGGTTTTTCCCTGGTTTTCGCAATGATCATGACACGTGATTTAGCAATAAATATTAGTAATTAATATACAGTATTATTGTGCACGAACGCCATTGTGACGCTAATGGAACAAAAAGTACTTCTGGATTATATTATTGATAAATTTAAAAAATATTATAATGTTCACATCTCTCTCTCTCTCTCTCTCTCAATTTGCTAATAAATAAAATAATATCCCACAATCTTATAATATTGATAAATACATCAAAGTTGTATTTTATTTCTTCAAGAATCATTGATGAAAAAAAAATTTTAAATATCTCTATTAAACACAAAGATGTTTTATATATTTACTTTCGAATAATGTAATTTAATGTGAGAGACTATCAGTAAGTGGCAACAAAGGAAACTTCGTTAATAGTTTCAGCTTTAAATACATTCATAAAACACTGTTCATTCAATGATAATGTTTTAGAACGTTGAATCATCTACCATCCGTCGTTCATGGATGTAGTTCTATATTACCAACGACTAATCAGTATAGACTAACTGTCGTTCAAGCAAATCTGGAGCAGTAATCTTATTCTAAATCCCAGCAGACATTTGAATTCTATAGGTAAATGGGAACCTAAACATTTCATTTGACGATGTTTCAAAATGTCGAATGATCCAGGGTTCATTGTGCGAATGGTCAAGGTTCTACGTTACCAACAACCAAGTCGAGTTGGCAGGCTACTGTTCAAAGAAACCTGGAGTCTCTTATGAATTGATCTTATTCCAGCAGGTCGCGCGGCAGGTGATTGGGTCCCTTCTCCTGCGCCTGCCACCAGCAGGGAGTCAGGGACTGCTGGGACAGCGGGATGCCACCTGCGCGATGATTGGTCAGTTTGCAGGCAGGTCAAAACGGCAACACATCGCTCGATCGGCGTCTGCCACACTTGTCTGCCGCTTCGAAGCGGAGCGCGCGATCCTTCCAGCCTGGTATTTTTCGTGTTTAATCCGCGGCGATCGGTACGCACATGTATAAGAGATCGTTCATTCCAACGGCGTAGTATATAATTTCAAAAAATAGGAGAACACAAACGACGTGGTAACCCAAACAAGATTCGAGTTAGAACCTGTGTTGCGAATTCCGGAGTTCACACTTGCACCGCGAGCATTGCTTTTCAAACGAACGCAGGATGACGCAGCGCGCAGGGCGCCCGGGTGTTTTGACATTTGTGACATATAGTTATATTTTATTACTGTGATATCAACAATAGTGCTTTGGGAAATTCTCAAACGACAGTGCTCGTGACGGTGAATGACGAGGAAAGTACCATCTGAGAGCAGCGCGGCACAAACGAGCAACGAGGTGAGTGGAGCTCCGTTTTGGTTGCATTTTGACCGTTTGCTTTGAGAGGTTAAGTTGGGTGCCCTGCTGGGGTCCCGCGATACCACCTCCCCCAATCCCTTCCCGCTTCCTCTCCGGCCCCTCGTCCCGCTAGTTGCGAATGGTCCGACGCGGACAATACGGTCCTCTGGAGCAACTCCGAAGGGCACCCGGGTCTATTCCGACCAAAAGATCCTTTGAATGGAATGCGTACCCGGCGGGGATCCCCTTCATCCCCGCTCCTTCTTCTATATCTACTCATCCAGATCCTTGTTCATCTCGTATTCCCATCCATTTCACTCTCACCGTCGTTCTGCAATCGTTCTTTTAAATTTTCAATTTCAGTTTATTTTGAACTAGACTCGGTGCTGATGCAGGAAGACTTGTAATTACTAATGAGCGCCTCCTTCTTTGTTTCACCAATATTATCCTATTATGTATCGTGAAAATGATTCCCACTATCTACTGCAGTACAATTAGAATCTTACTCTCATCATTATTATCTTCGCTATCGCTACAATTCTCCTTGTTGTACTCTCGCCGATAATTACGTAATAGATATTATCTATTTTCGTTTTATCTTACATCACTCTTTACTTATCGTAAAAAATGATTGCGATACGAGAAAAGTAATTATGACTGTATGCCAATATATTTTATTGATGGATCATATTTAAAGAACTTGTATACTGAACCATAATAAAATTTCCCTTTTACCTATCTCTTCTTGTCCGTTTCCTCTTCTCTCCTCCTTCCACAACCTTCCCTTTGGAATGTGCTTCTCGAGGGTCCAGACATATTTCTGATCATAGGATCATCCACAACAGGTCCCTGACTTTCAAATTTTCTTTCCTGTCACCTAGAAATACGAGCGGTTTCGTGCTCGTGTTATGCCGGTTTTCGATTTTCAAAAATCAATAGTCACGATAACTGTAAAAAAATCAGACAAGTTTGTCCACCGTGTCAACTTAATAATATACTTCCAAGAGATTTGCGAACTTCCTTTGTCGTTTTTTTGCGCTGGTTTATATTAGAATTCTAAGTACTGTTACTCGTTCTTATAAACGTATAATAATTCTTAAAATTTGCCATTCATTGAAATGAATCTTTCTATCTCTTGGAATATGTAAAGAGCAGACTAATATTTTAAAATTAACATTATGAAAGATATTGTATTTCCAAAACATAATAGTATATTGGATAAATTATAAATATCGTTGAATAAATTTATTTCTCAATATTATGACCTTATTATGTTAATCGATGACAAATTTTAGATATGCTTAATTAATAATATCTATAAACATTGACTCTAATTCTGAGTCTACTTTGTATTTTCGTCCACATATATTTTATATGTAATAAATACTTTTCTCGTCTCTCTCTTTTAAGACTTATAATCTTTCTTTCTCAGTATCATAAATTCGCAATAAAAATTTAAATTTAAATATTGAAATTTCATATTGTGAAATATATTGTAACAGAAGATACCTCAATCTTATCTGCTCGTCTATCTAATCCATTTATTGCACAACGAATGAAAAAATTATATTAAATATAGTAAATTGCTAAACAGTTTAATTTGTGATATTATTATTGTAATTCAATCGATTTGCGTTTCAAAACCGAAAAATGAATTCAGCGCGCAATTTAAATGACTACACAGACAGTATATAAATTCACATAGAATTATTTAAACACTTAAGAAGCAGCTTGACTGTTAAAGACTTTCTTTCTTTTCTTGTTTTATATTAAATATTCTTAATTTTCCGCGATATAATTCTGCCGCAATATAGCTCACGAAGATCGTTCCGTTTATATCCATACGAATGTCTAAAGCCTAAAGGATTATTTATACTAGCCATAATCTAAATTAATTTATGCCGTAATCTGTAAGAATTAACCAATCACAGTCAAATAAGAGGGGAATACTTGACTATGATTGGTCAATTCTTACAGATTACGGAATAAGTTATAGACAGTATAAATCCCGTCCCCCCAATACAATTGAAAAGTACAAGAATAATGAATAACAGATTTCAACTTATCAAAAACCATGTATTTTGGTACATATGATTCCTGATAGGTTGAAATCTGTTTCCCCGTTTCTATTGCCTGTGCTTTTCAATTGTGTCTCAGGCTCTTTAATCTACGCGACGGAGTCGTCGCAGCGGATCCGGGCGAGGTAACCGGAGCAGTTTCGGCACGCGTACCTCTACGCATGTCATATGTAGGTATGTACGTGCCGTTGTCAAACGTGCTTTGAAAATCACGCACAAATACCGTTGCACTTAAGGTCGTTCACTTACGTATCTACCGAGTGCGATTCAGCGCAGGAGTAGCTACCGGTGTTTTGTGCGCGACACGAAACAGAAAATCGCAGAAGAAAATAAATGTGTGTCTTTCCGGTGTGCGTCGTATTACGACGTTACGACGCTTCTCTTGCTCCGGACGATGACATTTTGATCATTTCGTATACGACGATTTCAAAAAGTTGAAGTTTAGAGCGGAGCTAATTATAAACAGCTTTAATTATAAGAACTCGATTCTGCGATATAATCTTTACATGGCATCTCGATTCAAAATTGTTGACCGTCACGTTTTGGGCGCGTACGTGCTTCAAGAAGATACCGTTGCTTATCAATTAATCGATTTGAACGTAAACGTTTAGAAAATTGTGTCATTGTGTCCGGCATGAGCGTTTTCTTCATAAAAAGAAATTATGACCCAAATAATACTTCTAATAATACTTGCTTTCGCTGCCTGAAATAATAGTAGACCTCTAACGGAAGAAGAAATCGGCTTCTGTCCTCAAAATGCTAAGAAATATATAATTGCTTAAAAACAGTACAATTGTGAATCTATTATAATAAAATTAATAATATCGATTCACGATTTCTATAATTCCAAGTTTCGGTGTTCATAAATAATTTAATTATGCATACATGAAAAAAAAATGATTAACAATATTAGAGTCAATAGTAACGTGATTAAAAATAATCTTGTTTATTTTTAATAATAGTATTATATATAATAAAACAAATAATATTTTATTAAAACAGGAGCATAATGCATTTTTTCATTAATAATATCAATTAATTAACAAGATTATTTTCAATTTTCAGACTACCATTAGTTGATGTTGTTAATACTTTTTTTTTTAAATTACGACCAATTCATTATAAAAATTACATTATTATTATAATATCTTGAACAATCTTGCAGAAATTTAATGAAAGAATCACCTTACTCGCAATAGAATTACGTGTTAAATTATATAAATTATATAACTTTAATGTGCAAATGATTTAAAAAACAAGTATTGCAGGTATCGCTCTTTGAATACGTGTTTATCGGTTACGTATGAAAATGTCAGAAGACACGACCTTGCACGTACACAGACTCCACATGTCACGTAAATTAATTCCGCATAGTTTCAATTGCCAGCATCAAGCGAAGTGAAACGCGCTCTCAAGTTAGCATTATTCGCAGGTGTAAATCGCGTCACACCCCAAATCGCTCGCACGTGATATTACCGCGAGATCCAATTAACCACGCTGATGGTTGTAACCAATGCTGATAATTTTCATTAGAAAATCCATTATGGAGCAGAGCGCGCGCGGCACGCGAAAAAGAAGAAGAAGGCACGATGGCGCAAAAGTGAAACTAGATTTTCTCTAATGCTTATTCAATTTGCGCTTTACGGTTCATTTGCGTATCTCTCTTAATTGCTTCGAAATTCCGCTCCATCTCACCAACCGCTGCGAAGCTTGAAAATGGCGATAAGATTAAGAATTCCGGACTACTTTCTTCTTTCCAAAACTGAGAAAGTAGGGTCATGATGTCGGCGTCTCCCTTGAGGCATTTATTATGTGTAATTGTTTTGAGAAAATCTCGCGGCTTATGACATTATATAGGAATATATCTCCAGCATTATTTTCAAGAGAAGTGCACTTTCTCACACCGACATTTCAATTAAATAAAATTTCTTCATTTATGAAAAGAAAGAGATTTAGATCTAGATAAATTTTATTCTTGAATCACATAAAAATTTCTAAGAAACTAGTCTTTCACAAAGTATTGATCACATACACAATAGAAAACATTGTATAATTATGTTGTGGAAACGGTCCACTTAGGTATGTTCTTATTAAGCTCTTGTAACAATTTGTATTGAATTTTTTAACAATATTTGAATTTCAATTTAATATAATATGATTATGTTATTTAAAGATTTTGTGTTAAATTGACATTCAACATATCTCAAAATGACACAATTTATTAATAAACAAATAACATAAAAATGCTGCCAAAATTTTTAATATTCGAACAACCATACCTTCTATTATTTTGAGTTCAGCAAAATCATTTCAAATCTAGCTAAACTTTTTTTTAGCTACTTCAAAAAATTGCCCTTTCGTGTATAATCGTAATAAACTAAAATTAGAATTTCTGGGATCTGCATACGCATGCATTTCACATATCAATATATTTAAACAGTAGGTAGTAAGATAGTAAATATTTGATATTACGAGAGTGATGAGAGTTATCATCGATTATTACCTTCGGGGCAGGTGTAATGTATACATCGTACCTAAGTAATGCGATTAATAAGATTCGACTCGTCTGTTTTTTTCTCAACCGCCCGTCAGTACTGGTCAGTACTCTCCGGAAGCAGATCGAGATATCTGCACGCTATCGTCCGCATTATAATTTTTGCGATGCAAGAGAGAAGCAGAAAAAAGTATAGCGCCAAATCAGGGCGCGCGCGGAAAGTCGTTACGAGAAATCGACGACCACCGTAACGAGGCCATTGCCGGTGTATTTTTTCAATTACATAGGAAATTACCCTGCGACCGCTTCTCTCGGCATCATTTTTTCCCTCGTTTCCTCGCGAGGAAATGTCGCGTCGTTACGATACGCAAAAAGACATTTTTTTTTTGTACGACGATTCCAAGCACAATGATTACAGACGGTCACATTTCTATATATAATTTTTGTGATTCGAGAATTAAATTCGCCGAATTTAAGTGTAGTTGTACACGACTGTACAGACGTGTAAGTTCGTGCACTTTGTTGCAAAAATCACGTTCTGACGTGATCAATCGCAACGATTAATTATAAATACTAAGCGCGATTGCAATGTTATGTGGATTCTTTCTTGATCCGCGTCATTTCGCTCGCGAAATATGTCCGAATAAGGAATTTATCGAGATCCGCAAACAATCTAATACGACTTCAATCATCAATCTGTATATCTCGATTCGGATTAGAATGTTTTTTATTATGTAAATAAAGATTGAATCGGAAATTAAACTCATACTTGGTTGCGCAATCAAAAGAAACAGTTAAAATTCAATCTAACATTCCGATAAAACTTTATTTAATGTATATATTCATACTATTTTGCTACTTTATTCGTATAAATCTCAGAAAAAAAATATTCAAATTTAAATTCCATATTTAGAATTCCTTTTCAGCGCTGTTATATTTATTATGCATTTGATATATAAATGTACTTGTAGAACACATTTTACACATACAAATATACTATTCTTATTACATTGAATAATTCAATGACGTAATGTGGTATCTCGGTGGTATCGTTTGCAAGCAAAATCACTTTTTGTATTAGATATAAACATTGAAACATTAAATAATTGAAAATTAATATGCAACTTATTCTTCGCAAGATATTAATAAGATAACTAAGAAAATTCTCTATTTTAAAATATTTATTTCACCAACGTTACATAAGCACTTGTCAATTAATTTTGTTATTATTCTATAATTAGTTTATGTAAACTACCGTTTCGTTATTTGACAATAGTGATTCAGAGATGTTTTGTTAGTCAAATTGCGAAGAACAATGGAGATTGACGTTATTATGGTAAGCTGTCATCTCGTATTATTGTTATTCGCACTTCGATAGCACTGTTAGTATTCCTCAGCGCACAGTCACAAATGTCACTGCTTTTGAATGCAATTGATACTTCATGCATTTAGTGAATGTAAATTACTTCGATTTACGTAGTCAATTGGCGAGGCTTTTCAAAGTAACAAAAAGCATCGATATCTGGTACTTCAATATACGTATAAATGTAAACCAACGATCTAAAGCGGCAGCATTACATGGTTGATGCTGCAGGAAAATGAAAACAACGACCATTCAATATAATACGATTTATTGCTTTAAATTGCTCGATTATCATCATAATTGCTTCTGTAACTTATCTAATTATATATTTTGCGGCTAAATTAAAATTATTTTGAATAAATTATAATTCCGTGTCAATTTTGCAGATTCATGATTCAATCACTATTAATATTATTAATATGATTTTTATTAATATGATTTAATCTATAAAAATAAGATGTCGATTCACATCAAAGAAAATTTTGATATATAAAAAGTTTGATATGTAAAAGTTTATATAATTTATTTTATGTTATACTTATATAATGAAAACCTAAAATATATCCTAACATATACATGATATCAATAGTGAAAATGCACATGCATTTAAAAACAAATGTAAATGAATCAATTGTAAATGTAAATTAGAACACAATTGCCATTTAAGCTTTCAAGGGTTTCAACAATTATTTTTATTATTCAATAATTATGAATAAATTTTCTTACTTCACTTACATTTGCATTTAACTGCACGAAACAAAATAGTCTATTTGCATATCCATTGACAAATTATTAATTTCAATGATAGCAATAAAAATTGCTTCAGTCAAATATAGAAAGACATAATGTAATGTAAATACTATTATATTTAAACGTATTATGAAAATAAGATGTTTCTTATATTATTTAATTGCGTATACAATTGAGTAATCCTAATTAGCAGAATAAGTATAATAATCGCACATTTATTTTCCGAATAAATGTGCAGACAAATCGCGCATTTTAAAATGAGTTTTCGATTTTTCCGCCGGACAAGTGTTTCTAATACGGTGTGTTTCTAATCTTCACTATACATACATCGTGATTTCTCTGATTTCTCACGGCCACTCACTAGTTTCTCTTCTCGTAGAACCTCTTTTCACAAGGTCAAAGGACAGTGGTACTTTATTTATTGACCCTGTTCGATTCATGAAAAGATATATTTGTCCTAGATTCGAAATATCTTTAGGCAGCGAAAATTCACTTTCGACTATAATTAATATCTCGATAAATTAATGAGTTTATAAAAAAAAAATAAATATAACATTATTATACTAACAAGGAATAAACATTTCTGTTTTTTTAATTATTTTTTTACTATTCTATGTTTTTCTTATTCCATGTTATCATGTTTTATTTTATATAATAATTTTTGGCTCGTAGTCCTCTTTTTTCTTTATTTTATAACAAGGAATAATTGGGAAATTAAATTTATAAATATGTATACTTTATGTACGACTTAGAAACATGAAACATTAATTAAAATAATTAACAAAAAAATGTTAGTTACATCTAATCAAGATTGAATTTTGCCTAAAAAGATAATAATATATTGTTTTACATTAAAATTATATATTATTATACAAACATCATATATTAGCCTTATTTGATCCTACTCAAGTTGCGAACTGAATAAATTGCTATAGACTAACAAAAACGTGAAAGGATCTAAAACATCTTCACACTACATCTATCATCATCGTCCTTAATAAAGCCGCGAAACTAATTGAACAGATTTATTCTAATAATAGTCGCAAGTCTTTTGCCTCAGCTTTCTCAGCATGTTCCTAAGCCCTTCGATGTCCCGCTGCTAATGCACAACTTTTTCTATGCGATCTAGTACTTCCAATTTCACCGCGACGCTCATCAAGCGTAGTCACGGCCACGTGGTAGTTTCTCCGCAGGAAGTCTCGTCCTCCAAGATCAGAGGACAAAACTCTTCCGCAGTAACCCTATCTAAGTTGCCAATATCTGCCTTGGGCTTAAATGGCAGCTCCGATACAAGAATCCCTTCCTCGTAGATCCTGTGATCCTTCTCCTCTTCCTCGAACTCCGAAAAATCATCATCTTCGTCATCATCGGTCTTCGCAGTAGGGAAATCGATGTCAGTCAGGACGAGCGTGTTCACTCTTCGATTCTTTCGCTTTTCCCGCGATAATCCCCTCTTGTCGAGACGACGTCGTAGTTTCTTGACACTCAGAGACGTGGGGGACGGGAGTATGTTTCCCTCAATCGCATTTCCCTCTTGAAGACCGCCGTCCTGATTGATAGCACCCGGTCGCCTTTCTTTATCGCGCGTGTCGCTGCTACTCGGTAGTTTCCTACTTTCCTGTGCCGATCGAGCCGTGTTCGCTGGGAATGCATTTTTATCGGTGGCACCGGCGCCGACGGCGGCCGCGATTTCGCTGGTGCCACCTGCCACTGCTTCCTCCGGTTTCCCGCTCGAAACGATTGCACGCGGACAGCCGTCTGCGATGTCGGTCGGGCGTACTGCGTTGGAATCGTAGGTCTCCGCGATGCCGTAGCTCAGACTTGGCTCTGCTGGCAACGCACTTGGAGCAGACCTCTTATCGACAGCCTCGGTGCTCTCAAAGTCGGCCTTGATCCGCGAATGCTTGCGATACTCTTCCTGCAAGTAAATACGAAACTGGTCCTGGAAGTAACCATCGATTACTTTCCAGATGGTGGCGCTGTACCAGCTCAACACGCCGAGGAGAAACACTCCGCGAATAATAAACGCCAACATTACAAGACCTTGTGGTTGCGGTTGATTATTCCGATGCGATATTACAATATTCTATATATAATGTTTTGCACATGTATTCTAAATATATTATGTAATTATAATATGCCGAGAGACCGCGTGCTGATATGATTAGACTGATATATGGTACATTGATAGAAGACTGATGTTTTCTTAAGAAGTAAGGCTTATAAATATTTTGATGAAGTCTCAAGTTTAGCATGTAAATAAAACTGTCGGTCTTATGTTATTATTAATGTATGTAAGTACGAAAGATAAATTTGATATACAATTTCAAAATTTTACATTCTTATTTGCAATTTTTATAATTTATCTGATTTATAAATATTTTGATATTTATTTGACATTTATTTAAACATTTAACGCGAATTTAAAAATTTATTCAATTACATCAAAATACTTTTAGAGTATTTATACTTCATTAAATTATTATGTAATTATTTAATTATTATAATTATTTACACTTTCTAAAAATTTACACTTTTATAAAAATTATACATGTTTGTTATTAAACATTAATAATATCATTTTTAATAAATTTATAGATACATTGTAAATAAAAATTAATATTCTAAAAAATTATTCCTCAAGATAATTATAAGCGTAAATTACGTCAAAATTATCTTAACAATAACTGATTAATTAAAACAATATGATTTAATAACTAACTTAAATCGTTAGTTTTGCCAAAAGTTATATGACTTATGGATCTTGGAGATTTACTCTTCCAAGACGAGGAACTTCTAGAAGAAAAATATACGAAAGAGTTTTATCTTATACAAATACCAACGATCAACACTCAAATACTGCACGAAAAAGAAGTTCTGTCACAGTTTTGTTTACCCATTTTGTGGATTTGGTAGAATATTAAATCTTTTAAAAGGTTATTCTCGACTATTTTTCGTTTGTCTTTCTAAGCATCTATTTCTCATTGGACTAAAAATGTGCTTACATACTTAACTGAATATTTTTCTATCGTTTATATAATTCGTAAGCGACAGTTGTTATGTCATCAATAATAATTTTATAAAATTAATATCTATCTAATATCTATCTGATATCTATTATTAATTTCAGTGTCTGTTTGTTCTATTATTAATGTTGAATTTAAGACAGTTGTTGCTTGAGATTAATCAATGACATGAAAGATAAAATTGACGTTAACAGATAATAATTGTAATAATTGGAAAAAATAATATTGTCATACTTGTTTTTAAATTGATTAAACAATGATCACGTTATTCCTAAACTATCTTTTCGATTGAGATCACTTAATCCTCTTCTCCCACAAGATAATCTTTGATAATGTAAAAGGATTCTTTCATGTTTGGCCAAGCTATAGTCACAAAGACCAAAATCGAATTCGCGATCACGAAGAGCCGCATCATTTCGATACCGGTGCTGGATCGGATCCAATTTCCAAAACCTTGATTCTCGTCATCGCTTAGACCTCCCAAATCCGACTTCTCCACCGCATTCCTTCCATTATGACAACTCTTACTACCTTTATTTTCGTTGTTTCCACGTTTCTTCATGCTGACTATATAGCGATCATCTGCAAGAATTGATTTCAATGCTGAACATCATAGAAATATGCCCTTCACGTGCTCTATGCGTTTAATTGTAATGAAATTTGTATAATAGGATTTTCTGTCTTATCAGTTATAGCAGAGTCTCTGTCTTAGCAGAGATAAACAAATAAAATAAAAAAAAAAATATCACATTCTTAAAAATTTGCAAATCTCTGCGTGGAATCTTTATAGAAATCTAATTCAATACTGGAAATTATTTATTCTGAATATTAAAAGCACAGAACTAGTTAATTAATCAGTATTAAATTTCTATAAGGGAATATAACGATCAATATTTTGAGTACTTACACGGAAAGAACAATTTTGTTGAAAAATCTAAAAATTTAATTTAAAACAAATCTGAAAATAAATTTGTTGGACTATTAAAATTATTATGTAGAACGTTAAAATTGATTCTTGGAATGTCAAAACTTTTTGCAGCATTGCATATCATGTTTGAAATTCCTGTAAAATAATTTTGATGATTCAACAAAATTATTTTCAGATCTATTGAACTAAATTTTTAGATTCTTCAGCAAAATTCTTTCCATTTATAAAAAAATTAAAGGAACGTCATCAAGAATTATTATGAAATGTTGTTCGATATTAAAATGTTAATTCTAATTTATTCTAAATCAAGAGGATTGATTATCGTGTTTCGTTCTCTGCTATTTATTAAATAACATAGTAACAACTGATAATTCGCGTCGCGAATTTAAAGAAAATTGTCCCGCTACGTGACGATTTACGATAATCAGCGAACCTGAGAGAAGATGAAATTAAAAGTATCCGCATACATATATTCCTGTTCCGGGATACGCGTGTGCGTGAGCACGATTACATATGGCATCGTACAAGAGACGCACATACTTGAGAGTGGGTGTGATGACCGCGATCAACGCATCGGATATACATACGCATTTTTACTGTCGCATACGAAATTGAAATTACAGAAAAATATTCCTGATTCTTCGCTTTCTCAAGATAAACTATTATAAAAGAAAATTTACTAAAATTTTTTATTCTTAATTATAATAATTATATTAAATATAATAACTGTCATAACTCTATTAATGTTAATTAAAAAATAATTATTATAGAACAGAATTTATTCGCGTCACAGCATTTTTACAGCCAAGAAGAGATAGAATAATTATTGTATTATTTGAAAGTGCAAATAACATAATGAGAATTTTACGTTGAAACAAAATGGATTACAAATTCCATTTTTTTTTGTATATTTTTAGAATTGAAAATTCTTGTATATAAAATTAATAAAAATTTATTTTTCTGTATATTAATTTTTTAATATTTATGTAGAATAACAAATAATATTTAGAGTTAAATTATGTTTTATATTAAAATTGTGATTCGGGAAGACTTATTACAAGATAGATTGAAAGAATTATGGAAATTTTTGCAACTCACATAATATTTACTCGTATCGATTTGTTGATTGAAAAACGCAACTCAAAGCTGATTTGCTCCGTGGTTCCATTAAATAATTTTAATAAATTCTCTTTTCCACCTCGCGATCTGTGAAGCTATGGATCATGGTAGATCAAAGTTCACGGTATTATACCAAGTAAATTGCAAGGAGGAATAGTGGAATCGTTATCGACAAAGAACAGCCTTCACCAGAGCAGATCGTTCTGTCTACAATGCTCCATTCTCTCTCTGCCCCCTTCCCCCCTTCTCTCTCTCTCTCTCTCTCTCTCTCTCTCTCTCGACTATCGGCCGGTCTTTCCAGTAACTGGCTAGTTATCAAAATTTTGCTCTATTGTTTACACCTCAACGATGAATAATAGGGATACGATAGGATCATGATGAAATATTGATGGAAACAGGTGGGCGGCAGAAGATTTCAAGTTAATTACGAAGATCAACGATTGATCATAATTGAATTTGTCAGAGAATTCAACATTCCACGTTCTATCGCCGTCTTTATGATCGGTAAAGGATGTGACGATGGAGAACAAATCGATAATAAATGACTGATTAATTTCACAGCGCCCATCTCACGCTTTGTTATGAAAAGCAAAAGAATAACAAAACTGTCTGTTCTGATTGTGAATAATGAAATATTATGAAAACTATTATGTTAAGAATAATGTCAGACAAGATATAATTTTACCTAATATGATTTATGGCAATCAAAATGATACACATATTTAATTACACATACACACACACACACACACACACACACACACATAATAATTAAATAATAATGACATTGCTGAAATTATAAAAATTTAGGTAAAGACAGATTTAAAAATAATTTTGTTGGACTATTAAAATTATTATGCAGAACGCACAACCATAATGAGCAATGCTGCAAAAAGTTGACATTCTAGCAATCAGTTTAAGAGTTCTAAAAAATTTTGATGGTCTAAAATTATTTTTAGATTTTTTTCAAGCAAAATTTTTAAATAACTTGAGCAAAACTGTTCTTCCATGTATAATACATATATAGTGTGTTTTAATAAATAGATAAATATAGGCGTGGTGTGTGTGTGTATATATATATATACACACACACACACACACACACAAAATATATATCGTATTTCGATGGGACAAACTTCAGGAAATGATAAATTTCACCAAAAAAACTTTTATTGAAGAACTTGTGTCCTCCGACATATTCATAAGGAACTACGCGTTGGGTCGCACGTGACGTCTGACAATACTAGTTCCTTTGATTTTATTTTTGCAAAAAGACGAGAAAGGAAGCAAAACCGAAAGCTATTGTTAGACATCACGCATACGTAATTGATAGCGTATTTCACAGCCAGTTCGAACAAGCTTCTCCATAAAAATACGTCGGAAGACATAAAATTCCTTAAGAAAAATTAATTCTTTTGATGACTTACCATCTAAAATTTATATTCCATGGGTCCTAAAACCTGTAAGATATATGTGTATACATATAATATGTGTAAAGGCAAAAAAATGACAGAAGACTATTAAAACCATAACAAACGATCTAGGTCCATCAGATGTCGATCGTTGCTGTTAGCTGCATAATTACTCGTCCTATAATTAAACGGGTTCAGTATGTTACGTCACAAACGGAAAGTTGGTCACTACGAGGTAACAGTACCCGATGCTCTACTTCGGAAGTCGCCCGTCGAACGCTTAGTTAGAAAAGTTGCAGGCTCGGTCGTTATTTCTATTCAAGCGCACCGGTCGGCTTTGTCTCTTATCGAAAACGATGCGCATGTAAATGAGAATTAGTAGTTGATAACACATCATCGGTATCGACAAGGACGAAATAAAACTGTCTCGGATCCCTAGTCTAAATTCGTATTTGGAACCGGTTACTAGCGAAGGCAATCGTACGCAATAAAGTGGCATGAAATGCGACTGCGCGCAACGAAACGTGCAGATTCGCACGACAGAGCTTGCGGTCAGCGAACGAGGAAATTACAACGACGACGTAGTTATCGGCAAAGGACAGCCCCGGGCTGTGTGCGATCATCATTTCTATGGAAAGTGATATGTCCGGCGAGCCCTCATTCTCGATACATCCCTCCGCCATAAGTCGAACCGGTCTATTGTACGCGGAAGTTCAATCTCTCCCCCTGTTATTCTCACGCATCACAAATCATAGTTGGTGAATTTCAACTATCATCGCTGGTCGTTATAGTTATACATCGTTATTACATCGTCGTCCCACCAATGTTGCCAAATATTTGATCAGTTACAATTAAAGAGATGAGTTCAGGAACGAGAGGATATGACTTTTGGCGACTCCAAAGTAATCGATCCGGTTTTAGGATATAAATTCTCGGATAAATTCTCTTTATTGTACCCCGCTATGTATCTCAATACAACAGAATCAAATGAAAAGAATTATAATTTTTTTCTGAATAGAGTAAATCAAATTTTGGAAAAGACTAAAATATATTTCTTTTCATCCGCTCGTGCTTTCAATTGTGATCGACAAACTCACCATGGTCGAGCTTTCTCAACGATCGTAAACGTGCGTTTGAATTCAGAGTAGACTGCGTATTTTTACGGCTTTTTACGAAGCGTGAAATTCCTGCAACGTGACGCACGCAACAACTGCCACCAACGGTTTGTCGCTTTTCGCCTTACTTCGCACGAGACATGCCGATAAGGTTTCTAGGCTTAGTAAGCTCATTAAAAGATTTCACGACAGTGCCGCGGATTCTCCAAAGCTCGCACGGCGCATGACAGTGTTCCTAAATATCTAGTAAATTCAATACTGCGTAATTCAAGCGTTATATTCTCTTGTGTAATGTCGTACAATCTTAAAGAGTACTAAACTCTATACATTACATTTTGTCACGTATATTTGGCGATTACTAAAAAATAACTGTAGAAAATTAAGTATGATTCAATTACAATATTACATTCGATATTCACGATCAGTTAAATATTATGACTTTAATACTAAAATAATCTTGAATCCTAAAAATGATTTGTTTATCTCCTATTCAATAATTAATAATACAACTCTCGATTATTCTTAATATACATTAATTGAAGTAAATAAGCCTATCGAGCATAAACAAAATATTAATGTATTTCAGTACATGAAATTTTAATAGATTAATAGTAGTACAAGTTTCGACTTAACTCATCAATCATCTTCAGCCGCATTTTCTAAGAATATATTTATACATCTAAATCATTGTTATTTATATCTTGACAAATGTAGTATCTTTCTCTGTTATTTCTCTTTCCGAATGTTCCATGTATACTTTTTGCTATATTTATTATTATTATTAACACACATTGTGTTTATTGAACAATTACAATGAACATATGTTAATTATTGTATTCGATCAGAATTGCGAGCTTATAATAATTATCTATCTTATATTAAATGGGATTAAAAATTATTAAAAACTATAAACCTGTCCGTCGTGACATTATTGTACACTTGCAATTGTCAAATTGAGTCACAAGAAGAACAAAACAATGTTAAGTCGAAACTTGTACCGCTATTAATTTCATGTACTGAAATACATTAATATTTTGTTTATGCTCGAGTTAGGCTTATATATTTTAATTATTGTGTATCTGTTATATGCTATTCTTTTAGTTAATTAAATATTGATAATCTAAATATACAGTATATGGATACAGACGCGATGAGAGAGAATTACAACAAAGTGAGATACTTATTATTAAATATACAAATATAGAAATGCAAAAAAACTGCACAATATTATAGATTCAAAATCTAATCCATCCAATCATTTATTTCTTCTATATAACAAAATTTATTATTTCCTAATTTTTCTTTAACGCAATCTCCCCCTCATCGTCTCTATGTTCATATGATAATAGCACAATCTCAGTTTAAACAATTATGTTACGATCAAATACACCATTTGGTAATTACTATCCATGAACAGCTTAATAAATCACCGATACATCAGATGAAATCGACATCATCTTCCAATCGATTAGATCACACGCAGCATTTCCCATGTAGTGCTTTATGAAGGAGCTCAATTAATCACGTGAGCTGTCAAAAATTTTGAATAGAAGAAATACATGGTCCTACTTACTACTTATTGTTAGAAAACATATATAAATAGCGTGATGTCGACTAAAATCTGAACGAACGTATCACCGATCAAATACACTTTCTTCTCATGATACTGAGTCACTAGATATTAGCGTAAATGTAATTTCCTGTCGAAAGAATATCGGAAAGAGATTTGTCTCAAGATATATTGACAACAAATTCCTACACTTATGCAAAAATAAAAAAGATATGAGATACGCACGCATCATTGAAAGAATTTATTGAAATATTCGGAAATATTATTATAAAGAGGAAAAACTACTTCTTCATTTAAATATTTCAATTTTGATTATAACAAGAATTATTTATGCAAACTTATGTAAGTGCATTGTATTAAAACAAATATAAATTACAAATATTAAAAATCATATAAGGTTATTATGAAATATTTATAGATATAAATTTATTTCAAGATTCCTTAAAATAGAGTTAAAGATAAAACAGATTCGAATTTTTCCGCGACCGGAATAAGAACTATTTCCACTTTCGTTTCCACTGAAGCCTCCGGGGACTTGCTTATTCCTGAGAGATTGACTTGTAACTCTGTTATCCAGAACTTCATTTTGTTGATAATATCAAAGGATCATATAATCATTTTCGATCGACAGCAGTGGACGATACGGCACTTGATACAATTTTCTCGAAAAACATTTGCGCTGTCATATAATATCGCTATACAAAATCTTAAACGATCTCTCTATATAAATATTTTAAAAAATTAAGAACCTTACATCGAATGCTTTTATTGTCAAACGTAAATTATGAAATGTACACAGTTTTAAATGAATTTAAATCATCGTAAAGAAAAAATTTCGCAATTATGAGCATTATATTTAAAATTTTTCCTATAAATGCTATATGAACAATCTAATATTTTGTGCATTGTTTCTCACTTTTTAAAACTCTATTTCAAAAACAAAATAAACTGCAGTTAGTAATGCTATTTACCAATTTAATAGATGCAGAACTTGATGCAGAATTATTATCGCGCTGTAAATTATTTTACCAATGTTATTCATTGATATTATTTTCTTTTGACATTTTCTTATTATATTTATATTTTAAGAAAATGTTTTACATAATTTTTCTAAAATGAAATAAACTGTTATTCCACTGCTGAGGAATCCCCCAGGGGTTCTTGGAACATGTAAAAACGCGCCGTTGCAGATCACAATGCCAATTTCTCGGATTACTCGTAAATACGTAGCGCGACGAAAAAAAGGAACGCGCTGAACTCGACGAAAAAGAACTTTGTCAAAGTAAGTGCAGCATGACTGTTGGTATTACATTTCTTTCTGGAAACACTCGACCAAGATTCCAAGAGGTGTTAGACTATTTTTACGTCCCCTCCGGCTGCTCTTTCTCCCGTCGCTTATGGCGAGGAAAACTCCCGATTGGAATGAGAAGCTTCCCTAATGGTCAAGAAACATAGTGAATCGGTCGTTTTGCTGAGGAATTTCCAGGTCACTTCGAGTAAGTAACATGTCTCACACCGTCTCAATAGTGCAGGATCTCTCGGGAATACTATACCACGAACGTTACACTCGATGTAACTAGACCAGCCTGAACTCAGAATACTCGGCTTAAATGCATCTTACCCTTTCTGGTTAAACCTAATACTATTAGGATTTCTAGAGCTTCTAACTGTCATTGAACACATCAGTATGATTAATGACACTTTAGAGTAATAATTACAACGTTATCACTGAGAACATTTTCACTATTATTGAAATTACTGTTAAGTATTTAATTAATTATATTAAATTATAAGTACACTGAAAAAAAAAGATTAGTTGCTGCAACAATTTAGATAGTAAAATATTGCATAGCGTTTTTATATGCAATAATCAGTTTTTGGTCGTAGCAGCAAATTTTTAGTTGCGTTAACCGAAATCATATACTGACATTGCGGATAACGCAACTAAAAATTTGCTGCTACAATCAAAAACTGATTGCTGCAGCCATATAAAAATGCTATGCCATATTTTACTATCTAAATTGTTGCAGTAACCAATCTATTCTTTCAGTGTGAAACTACGTTTTATCGAGGATTTTATTTCAGCAAATAGCGTCAACTGTATCACATTACGCTAAAACGTTTCCTTTTCTGCTATCGTGATAAAAAATATTCTCAACTTTCTATGATCACGCAATTATCGGCTGTTTGGCTACATATAAAAACATTTATCATTAATTATAATACATTTGCTATTAGATCACTCTAATGCCGACTTCACACGATCAATAATATTGCTCAGTAATATTGAATAATACTGACAGTACGCATCAGTATTTTTATAACCTTACACGATCAATATTATTATTGACAATATTTCGGTTCAGTTTTATGTACATTATGGATCTTATATATAGCAATAATAATATCAGTACCAATAAATAGTGTCTGTGAAGTTAGCATGGAATTTTATTAATTTTTAAAAAATAATAACTATTCCGGTAACACTTTTGATTGTTTTGATACTGTAAAGCATTACTGTTCTTTCAAAAATAACAAAATGTTCTACATTTTTAATATCAAAAAATCAAAAATAAAGAAATGTCATGCTAATTTAACGTTCCAATATGGCATAACGTCCTCTAAAGAACCAGATGCCATCGAATATTATGTCAAATATATCAATATTATGTTCCCGTTTCTTTTAAATTATATATTGATTTAGTACATTTTTTCTCAGAGTACAATCTACATCAATCCATCAATATTAATCACATACTATCAATAATATGTCAATATTTGTTAGTAACTGACAAATTATTGAACTATATTATTGAACATAGATCCCTATTAATAAAGCAAAAAAGTACGGCTTTACAACCGTCCATTGTAAGTAAATTGCTCTTCCGCGCATAAATATAAATGGACAAAATGAACAACTCTATACAAAATCAGTCGTTCAGGCGCGATATGCAAACCCTTTCGCAGCTCTCGAAATATTAAACAATTTCGTTAGGAATTCTCGTAGTTGAGTTTAATTATTGCCACGAATTTATCGTTCGGCGTACTTAGAATTCTTACGTCTCGAAAAGCATATGAATTATTCAATTTAAATCCTTTCTGCTAATCTGAATAATTTGTAATATGTAAGTAATTTATTTCTCAGACGAGAAATAAATTATTGTATGATCTCTTTATTATGCACGAATTTTTTTTAGCCAACTTATGTCTCGTATCTCATCATATTTTGATACAATTTTTATTAAAAAATTTATTATTCAAGATATATCATATATAAGTTTATACTATGTTAATGATCCAAGTTAACCTCGATTTAAAATGGCTGCAAATTTAAATTAAGAATAAATAAAAGAAGAAGAAGGAGAGATATTTAAAACAAAATCGAAGGTCAAAATAACAGTCTAAGGAGGAATCTACGAAGGTGTTTATGGCAGCTTTCATTATAGTCTTAAAAGCTTCCCTTCTTATTCGCTCAGAGCATCGCCGGTAGCTTCGTTAGAATTCTTCATAATTACGTTCCGTCATTGGCGCAAACTTTATCGCTGCTTCTATGAAAGCTTCCTTGTGCCAATGTAAGTGTTTAAACAGTCACGAGCTTTTCGTTTTAATCGACATTAAAGAGAATATAATGATAAAACTCGGCAAATAATATGCAATCATTGAATAAAACGAATGACGTAACTATTTGATGCAAGTAAATATGTGCCATATTTA